TTGTAATAGAATTGACACTCTTCGCACCCGGTTGAATTGTTCAATTTGATTTAAAATCATCATGAAAAGATACTCGAATGTGAATTCCAATCCTTTCACCAAATAGCTAAGCAAACATATCCACCATCTAAATTTGATCAAAAAGTTTTTTGCAATTCATTGAAGATCTTACTCGAGGGGGAGGAGGACGAAGCGCGAGGACGTAGCGGCCCTCTGGTGTTCGATAAGCGGTGTGGATCGGGCCGCTAACGCCAAAGTGCCAGCTCCTGTGGTCAGGCGTGTTCATCAGGCGTACCAGGAGCTGGCAGTTGCCCATCTGGCATATTGCTTCGACGAGCAGGGGGTGTGGGGTCCCTGCTCGTGCCGCTCTCACTGAAATCACACAAAATATTCCAACGTATTCAACACATTTTATGATGATAAAGACCGCAAATCTCCACAATTGTATCCCCTCGGATCAAATCCTTACAATTGTACCAGTTGTATCTTTCATCAGTTACTCTGCTTACTTTCTTTGTGTCAACGACTCCTTTTGCGAAATCTCATTTTAAAGCTTATGATCATCCACAGATGGATGAATAATCAACTTTTGATACGAACTTAGCTCAAACGCTTAAGCGCCTCTCTCTCTGATCATCTAAATATCACTTTGGTGATCATTCCTTCGTCATTTTCTTTCTAGATATCCCTTCAGTGATATTTTTTATTCGAAAAGCTATCAGTTCCTTCTCAAATCCGATCAACCGTCTACTATTTTTTAAGGGGAATTAGAACGGCTACAATTATTCCATCCGCTATTCCGATTTTCATNCAACCGTCTACTATTTTTTAAGGGGAATTAGAACGGCTACAATTATTACATTCGCTGTTCCGATTCTCATACATCTGCCAATTAGTACAGTGATATTTTCGTCCAATGATGTCATGAAAATTGGTCAGACTGATGGATTGTAATCATTAAAAAAACTAGTATTGTGATGCAATACTCACCCGCGGCTTCCACTCCCAATCGTCGTGGGAGGGTCCGGGTTGAGATCGGCCAGTGATTCTCAACCCACCGAGCCAGCTCTTCCTTGCGTGGCATGAAACACAGCAGTGTTAGTACTTGCAGCAGGTCGCTGCATTGGATGTGTCCGCGCCCCCCATAGGGCTCGTGTTTCCCGTGCAGGGCCAACTCCGGATGGCCGGGCTCTCCGTAACGCGCGCGATGTTCGTGATTCTTTCTTCTTGTGTCGACGTCCATATTATAATTGTCTCGTCTCATATTTCTTAAAACGATCTTATAAAATAATGATGTAGATGAATGTCTAGCTGACACCGTTATCATTATGCACTTGAAAAATCCGTGATCTAAATCTCGGTGAATTCTCATCATTGTGATCAATTATCATCGTTCGTTCCATTCGTTTAATGTAAATGCGATTTTGGTTGTATCGAAGCTCAAATGTTGACGGTATTTATGAGGAACGCTATTCGCCG